CCTGGGAGCGCCTGAGGAAGATGAGGAAGCTTGTACCCAACATTCCCTTCCAGATGCTTCTCCGTGGTGCTAACGGTGTTGCGTACTCGTCTCTCCCTGACAACGCTATCTACCACTTCTGTGAGCAGGCGAAGAAGAACGGAGTCGACATCTTCCGTGTTTTCGATGCCCTCAATGATGTTGAGCAGCTCGAGGTCGGTATCAAGGCTGTTCTCAAGGCTGGTGGTGTTGCTGAGGGTACCGTCTGCTATTCCGGTGATATGCTTAACCCCAAGAAGAAGTACAACCTGGAGTACTACGTCAGCGTAGTCGACAAGATCGTCGGCATGGGCGCACATATTCTTGGTAAGATGCAATCGTACATGGTGTTACTTTTTTTAGGACAAATGCTAACGTCGATCTCCAGGCATCAAGGACATGGCCGGTGTCCTCAAGCCTCGCGCTGCCCGCCTTCTCATTGGTACCATCCGTGAGAAGTACCCCGACCTTCCCATCCACGTCCACACACACGACTCTGCTGGTACTGGTGTTGCCTCCATGGTCGCCTGTGCTGAGGCAGGTGCGGATGCTGTTGATGCTGCCATTGACAGCATGTCTGGCATGACCTCTCAGCCCAGCTTGGGTGCTATTCTTGCATCTCTCGAGGGTACCGACTTCGACTCTGGCCTTGACGTACACATGATCCGCAACCTGGATGCGTACTGGGCGCAGTTGCGTCTGCTCTACTCGCCATTTGAGGCCGGTCTTACCGGTCCCGACCCAGAGGTCTACGAGCACGAGATCCCCGGTGGTCAACTCACCAACCTCATTTTCCAAGCTTCCCAGCAGGGTCTTGGTGAGCAGTGGGCACAGACGAAGAAGGCCTATGAGCAGGCCAACGACTTGCTCGGTGACATTGTCAAGGTTACACCGACTTCAAAGGTCGTCGGTGACCTGGCTCAGTTCATGGTCTCCAACAAGCTCTCATACGACGACGTACTGTCGAAGGCTGAGCAATTGGACTTCCCCTCATCTGTCCTGGAGTTCTTCGAGGGACTGATGGGTCAACCATACGGTGGCTTCCCTGAGCCTCTCCGATCGCAAGCTCTCCGTGAGCGCAGGAAGATGGACAAGCGTCCTGGTCTCTACCTCGACCCCATTGACATCGCCAAGGTAAAGGCAGACCTGAAATCCAAGTGGGGCGATGCCACCGAGTGCGATGTTGCATCCTCCATCATGTACCCCAAGGTCTTCGAGGACTACAAGAAGTGGACCTCCAAGTACGGCGACCTCTCCGTGTTGCCAACACGCTACTTCTTGTCGCGTCCCGAGATTGGTGAGGAGTTCCACGTCGAGCTCGAGAAGGGCAAGGTCCTGATCCTCAAGCTTCTTGCTATCGGTCCTCTATCCGAGCAGACTGGTCTCCGTGAGGTCTTCTACGAGATGAACGGTGAGACCCGTACCGTGACAGTGGAGGATCAGCACGCCGCCATCGAGAACGTATCGCGACCCAAGGCCGATCCTACCGACAGCTCGCAAGTCGGTTCGCCTATGTCTGGTGTCTTGGTTGAGGTTCGTGTCCATGATGGTAGTGAGGTCAAGAAGGGTGACCCTGTTGCTATTTTGAGCGCCATGAAGATGGTAAGTCAACTTCACAAACGACACCTTGAATCTATGCTAATAAACGTAACAGGAAATGGTCATCTCCGCTCCTCACTCTGGAAAGGTCAGCAACCTGTCAGTTCGCGAGGGCGACTCAGTCGACTCTGGCGACCTTGTCTGCAAGCTTGTCAAGTGAGCGGGCCACAGACACTCGTTTGAAACGAATCTTGCTTGACAGTATTGGGTTATGGAGTCAGGGGGCACCGCCAGACGGCTGCTCGTGGCGCACGAAGATGAAAATTGACGCAATAAGATGACGCCTAAACAGGATGGGGTTTTTGCTATGGGTCGCTGCGTAGAATCTGAGATGAGTATGGGTAGATACAATGAATGACAGTATTTCATGACAGTTTGCATTTTATGTGAACAGCACCGAAGATTCTTTTTCACAAGACTGATTCTGATCGAAGCTAAACTATACATACGCAAGAGGCGCGAAGTCTGCATTGGTCATACTAAATTCTATATGTCGTTTGTCACATATATCTCTACTGACACATTCTTCTATGCCGCAGATAGAGCCTAATGTGCTTTGAGCTTCCGCTTGGCTGCATATATGGTTCAACGAACGCCAGACACCCTTAAATGCGATATAAGCCGACCTACCCAAACGCCTAGACTCCATGCTTTAGCCCAACATCTCACATCCCTGCAGCCGGGCTCGGTTGTGATCAAGTCTCACACGAGCATCACCTCACGCTCATCCCATGGCCCCAAAGTCCAACTTCCTAGCCACTTTATCCGCCCTTCCATTCGCGGGCGTCTCTCCCCCTTTCCTCTTCAAATCCTCCCCAATCTTCGCCTCCCCACCCCCTTGTCTCGGCAGATTCTCCTTCTTCGTCGGGCGCGGCATATTCGTCCAATACCTATGCTCGAGCGCCTGCCGTGCCGTAAGTCTCTTCTTCGGATCCATCGTGAGCATGCCCCTCATCAGATCTACACCATCCTCACCCAGTAGCGGAAACATGCTGCGCCACCAAGACAGCGGCTTTCCCATTTTCGCGGCCGTGCTACCCTTTGCGATGCCGGGCTGTTTCTCAGGCGCGACGTAGTATCGCAGCGCCGAGACGCCGGGCCAGACGTCTTCGGTCGGCGTGCCGAAGTGGTCGCATATCATGGCGAGTTGGCCGATATCTGTATCCGCAGGGAGGAAGAAGTTACGGAGTGCGACTTCGGCAATGACGCAGCCTACGCTCCACATGTCGACTGCGCCGCCGTAGTGGTAGCAGCCGTAGAGCAGCTCGGGAGGCCGGTAGTACCGCGTAATGACGTTGGCGGTCATGTGTCGTCCTGGATCGGCAAAGGAGCGCGCAAGACCGAAATCAGCAAGCTTGACGGTCCCGTCGGCGGCGATGAGTAAGTTGTTGCCCTTGATATCGCGATGGAGGACGTAGTTTTCGTGGCAGAACCAGATCGCTTGACAGAGCATGTTTGCCCATGCTTTAATGTCTGCTCCGGCGTAGGTTATGCTTCGGTTCTTCCATAGGCCTTCCAAGTCGCCGAGCGGTAAGTGTTCGAGGACTAGAGATAGATTCTGGTCCTTTGTGGAGAAGACGGCGTGGAGCTTGATGATGTTTGGGTGCGAGAGCTCGGAGAGGAATTTGATTTCGCGGATGGCATCCATGGCGATGCCGTCTTTGAACTCGGCGTTGAGCTTGATCTTCTTGATGGCGACGAGTGCGGAGGGGTCATTGCGATAGTGACCGGCGTAGACGTTGGCGTAGGTTCCTTCTCCGAGCTTCTTTCCGCTGACGAATTGCTGCCGTACATCGTCGTTCATTTTCTCTGCCAGGTCGAGACCGCCATCGGTGGATGTGCTCGCGACGGGCGCGGCGGCAGGAGAGCGCGCGGCTTTGTTGCTGGAATTGAGGATCGCGAGAGCTTTCGTTTTGCTAGGAACAGCGGCTGGTCTTGAGCCGGGCCCAGGGGGATTGGGCCTTGGGCTGAGCGCTACTGGAGAGGCAGCCATGGTGAGTTTGGCGATACTTGGTAGGAAAGGTGCTAGATGCGCGCTGTAGAGTTCAAGGTACGGCGCAAGGACGTTGGACGGCTGAGAGGTGGTGGGATGTTGTCGAACAGCCACTCTTCATGGTCGCCTGAGTCTCGTTTCCCACGTCTCCGAAATGTATTCCTTGCAGTGGCCTGAATGGTAAGTGAGTGAGTTCATGTTTGGAGAACAATGCGGTGATGATGCACGCACGGTCCCGCGGTTTTAGCGTGCATCTCATGAACTTTTGCGGGGAGCTCAACTCACCACCGACGCACACGCTCTGACGTTTGACATAAACACTCGCGCAATCATGGCCACCTCGAACCGAGGTCCCCCTGGAACTGGCGTTGTGCCAAAGGAGGGAATTCCTAACCGAACGTGAGTGTGGACATACGGCCTCCGTACTCAGATATTGAAAGAAGGCACGAAATGCTAATGTTATGTAGGCTCTATGTTCGCGGCCTCCCAGATAGATTACCCAAGGAAGATCTCAAGCGGAACCTGTATATGCTATTTGCTACATATGGCGTACTATTAGACGTGGTAGCCATGAAGACCATGAAGATGCGAGGACAGGCACACATTGTTTTCCGCGACCTCGATGCTGCAACGCAAGCCATGCGCGCGCTTCAAGGCTTCAATTTCTTCGGCAAGGACATGGTAGGTCTTGTTCCCTGGACTATTCGATTTGCGCTAATTGAATGACAGCAAATCGCCTATGCGAAAACAAAGTCCGACACCATAGCGAAGCTCGACGGAACGTACAAAATGCCGGAGCCCGAGCGCGAGGATGAGCCTGAACAGGTTGCGGCCGCACAGCCAGGAGCCTTCGGTGCTGCACCCGCCAAAGCAGTCCCCGTCAACGCTCAAGATGCCGCAAAGGGACAAAAGAGGGCTCGTGACGAGGAGGAAGAAGAGGAGGACGAGGACGCGGAGATGGAAATGGACAGCGATTCGGACTGAGAAATCAAGGAGAGCAATCGGAAGGGAATTTGATACCCATTAAAAGCCACTCGAGGAGTGCTCGTAGTGGCCATACCGTGTCACGTCATTTGGATGAATATCTAGAGCTGGATGTATGCAAAGGCGCTTGAGTCGTTGGTGGAACCGACGCTGACATTACGCAGAGACTAGAGTCTACATGATAGCTCCATAGCCGGCCTCAGACATCGAGAAGGAGCTCGAAGGAGTAGGACGTGGCTACAGAATATTGAGAAGTTGAACGATTAATGCATCAATGAATATCATCAGACCGCATCTACTGAAAGACAATTAGTCAAGCCACCGTCCATTGCCTCTCGCAATAGTATGTGTCAGTACAAAGAAGGGACTTACGCAACAAAAAAATCGAAAAAAATCAAACAGTGACTGGCGCCAAGGAGAATCGAACTCCGGCTTCAACAGCAATTGTAGAATGACCACAATGTTGCGTCCTACCTCTAGACTATGGCACCTGGGTTGTCTGATTGTGAGATTGTGAGGATTGGTTAGCCTATACAATGTGCAAGAATACAGGCCAGTGGGCATGATATGGTAGCGATGAGGTTCAATGAGAGGTTGATCCAGTGAAATCAAGAGAGTGGTTGCGTTTGTCAAGAAAGGCGATTGCGAGTTGTATATGCTTCAACAATTGTGGGACAACAAACACAGCACATTGAAAGAGCTTTAAGAACTACATATCAGAGAATAGGTAAATCTGAGACGAAAGAGACAGAACTCAATTCCCGGCCTTGCATCCATTTTCTTATACATATCCTCAAAGTGGTAACATTGCAGACCGCAGGGTAACTCGCATACCATGTAGAGACAGATGCACCACAATGAGTAGCACCAACAGTATTCTTGCCTGATCCTTGATTGAGAAGGAAGCCTTATGCAGCTTGTCAATCTCACTGAGCCAGGGCAGCATGAACATAGACAAAGCTAAAGCTGATGATGGTGTTCAAGGCACACCCGCTGTTACATCATACGCAAGCTAAGTATAACACAAGTCGCATGTCCTGATTGTACACTTCATAGCGGGAGCGTACGTGCTTGTAGGCTGCCTGAGTACCCATAACATAATCAAGTCACCTTGATGCAGGATGGACTCGTTCACGAATGCCATCAGCCTTCGACTGAGGCTAGCACATTGTTTCTTTCCTTTACCATCGCGACTGAGGAGCATCTGTAGGACACTCTCAACAGGGACCATTCACAGCTTGCTCCAGCGTTGCGATAGTATGTACGACCAATCATTGCGCTCTCTTCCATTGCTCGAAAGCCAAAGAAACCGCACCCAAGATCAGCCACTGGTATCTCGTCTCCACGTCACAGACGGTTTTCTTTCTCATGGAAACCTCACACCGCCACATGGGCGACGGGTCTCTCCATAGAAAATGCTTTATAGTGAGTGTTCAAAATTTGCGTTGTTCAATAATGAAGAAGAAAGGAGAGGCGCGCGCAGAGAAAGTTTTATGCGGTTCGGCGGGCGGCGGATCTGAAACGCCGATTGGCCGTGCGACTGCCCCGCGAACTTTCCTTGAGTCAACCGCCGCCATTTTGCGTGCGTGTGGGAATCGATATCGAAAGCTGCAGACCCGTCTTCGCAACACCCCCATCCGCACCACCTCGAGTCCAGCGATATTTAAGCCACAGAAGGAATCCGCGCACCCCCTCGAACAACCACCCAGCATGGAGTCCGAGTCTGACCACGACCATCGCGATGATGAGAGCGTGTCTGAGCAGGAGGAGATTGAGGACACGAAGCCAAAGTCGGCGCTGAAGAAGACGAGAGATGTGCTCCCGCCTGTAGAGCGTCCCGAACTCCCGTAAGGCATTGATAGAACATGTGTCCATTTGGCATGGCTAACAGATGTCCCAAGAGAACAACCAGAACCGAGCACAATCGACTTCTCCACACTGAACCCGCTATCACCAGAAATTATCTCGCGGCAAGCGACCATCAACATCGGAACTATTGGTCACGTCGCTCACGGAAAGAGTACCGTCGTTAAAGCTATCTCGGGTGTGCAGACAGTCCGCTTCAAGAACGAGCTCGAGCGAAATATTACCATCAAGCTTGGTTACGCGAACGCGAAGATCTACCAGTGCGACAACCCCGAATGCCCGCGCCCAACATGCTACCGATCATACAAGAGCGAGAAGGAGGTCGACCCACCGTGCGAGCGCGATGGCTGCGGAGGCAAATACAGGCTGAAGCGCCATGTGTCGTTCGTTGACTGCCCCGGTCACGACATTCTCATGAGCACTATGTTGTCAGGCGCCGCCGTCATGGACGCTGCGCTGCTTCTCATTGCTGGCAACGAAACTTGCCCGCAACCGCAGACCAGCGAGCATCTTGCTGCCATTGAAATCATGAAGCTGAACCACATCATCATTCTCCAGAACAAGGTCGACTTGATGCGGGAAGACAGCGCCGCGTCACACTACGAGTCCATCTTGAAGTTTATTCGTGGAACTGTCGCTGACGGATCTCCTATCATCCCCATCTCTGCTCAGCTGAAGTTCAACATCGACTCCATCAACGAACACCTCATCAGCAAGATCCCTGTGCCCGTACGAGACTTCTCCGCCAAGCCACACATGATTGTCATTCGATCATTCGACGTCAACAAGCCCGGTGCCGAGATCGATGAGCTGAAGGGTGGTGTTGCTGGTGGCAGTATTTTGACTGGTGTGCTCAAGCTTGGTGACGAGATCGAAATTCGGCCCGGTATTGTGTCAAAGGACAGCGCAGGCAAGATTCAGTGCAAGCCTATTTTCTCGAGAGTCGTCTCTCTGTTCGCAGAGCACAACGACCTGAAATTCGCCGTACCTGGAGGTTTGATTGGTGTGGGAACTCGCGTTGACCCTACGCTGTGCCGTGCCGATCGTCTTGTTGGTTTCGTCTTGGGTCTCCGTGGACATCTGCCAAATATCTACACTGAGCTCGAGGTCAACTACTTCCTTCTCCGAAGATTGCTCGGTGTGAAGACTGCGGATGGTAAGCAGGCAAAGGTTGCCAAGCTTGCGAAGAACGAAGTATTGGTATGTGACTTTTTGCACCCGTGATGTGCTGAGCTAACGTAATGTCAGATGGTCAACATTGGTTCTACTGCCACAGGTGCCAAGGTTGTCGCTGTAAAGGCTGACGCTGCCCGTCTGTCGCTTACGTCTCCCGCATGTACGGAGATTGGAGAGAAGGTTGCCCTCTCGAGACGTATCGAGAAGCATTGGCGACTCATTGGATGGGCTAACATCGTGGCGTAAGTACCACAACTGTCTGACTACAGCCGTTGCTAACCAAACGCAGTGGAAACATCCTGGAGCCAATCGTCGATTGAACAAGCAGTCAACAAAATTGTTCACGAGCTGAGGAGTTGCTGTGACGATATGACGATTCGACGATCCGAGACGGCAGGATCTTGTGCATTACGTTCTTGAGCATTTTCCAGCAGGAGTCGGGTGGCATGTGAGGATAGACGCGAAAAGGATTCCCTGCGATCACGATCTAGAGACAGTTCGAATTCAGGAAGCTATAGTCCAATATGGCTAGCATTTGTTGGAGATGGCGCGCCCTGCATGAGAGCAAACCCTCTACCAGAGCTGGCATAGTAGAAAAATACAACGAGAATCACATGTAACACATTCAAAAGTGTTGAGGAGACGGGTGGGTGCGGAGTGATCGACATAGGCGGAGGGAACAGCCGCATTTTCACATGAAAGCCAAAGCAGCACAACGTCAGACCATGTTGCTAGCCTACTTCTGCCTCACAGTCCCCTCCCTCCCATATTGCTTCGTCTCCAGTTTTGCAATCTCTCGGCTTTTGCCCATACCAGGTAGGCTTGCGAATTGCCCGAGGCGTATACCGTACTCGTATTGGTCCAAGCGATCATTGACCACGTGCACTGACCTTACACAGAGTTTCCGATCTACCTTCCATTCCAGCTACTGCAACAATTTACGAGCACCCACCGGTGTGCTTGATTCTTCTTTCTGCCTTTCTCGCTTCGTTGCTCACGCACACATTCCCTTATCTCTATATGACATTATAATACCCATAACCCAAGAGTTGCGACGTACACGGATTTAGTCGCATCTGCGCGCATCAGGTGCTCGGAATCGGAAGTCACACGCGAAGACGACCATGGCAGACGACGAATTTGCACCGTCCAACGCCGCACAATCACCACCACACATTTACCGCCCGATTCCGCGGCGGACGTTTGACAGTGCGGCACTCAACGACTCGGCGGATTCACCTACACACGACTTCTCGCAGGCGACACCCCCGAGCGCAAACGAGACTCGACGCTCGAGTGACTTCCTCTCGCAGCTTAACGCCCGCTTGCTGCGGACGTATAATTCGCGCAATGAGGATGGCGACGAGGGAGAGAGGGAGCAGGGGCTTCCGTCGCGCAATAAGAGCTTCTTGAACATGACGAGTAGCACGCTGTTCGGCATCTACGACGATGTAGGGTCGAGCGCGGCGAGCATGGCGGAGACGCCGTGGGGGACGGGCGCGGAGACGCCGGCACATACGGGCATGGGACACCAGGCTTGGGACAGTGGGCTGGGGAGTCCGGATGCTGGCATGAGCATGAAGACCCAGGCGCGGAGGGGGATGCAGAGCGGTGCGGCGGATGGGAAGAGGAAGACTCGCTCGCCACGCCGCGCGAGGCCTGTGGTTGTACGACATGCGATTACGGGGAGCAAGCTGGCAGCACTGTTTCTGTTCGGCGTGGTATACGGCCTTATTGTGTCACATCTGCACGACACCAGACAGCTCTCGGCTGTGCATGTTCAGGGCGTGGATCCCGGGAATTGGATATACCTCGCGAGCTGGGGCTTCTTTGGCGTCGCGCTGGGAAGTTTGCTGCCCTACATTGACTTTGCATGGAGCGGCCACACCACCACCGACACAGTCGAAGAAACCGACCCAGACAAGGACGGCCAGTCTCCCATGAGCGAGCAGATCAACGACGTGGTCCGGAGCGTGGCTGCGTTTGTGGGCATCGCTTTTGCTATTGTAAGTCTTCTCCTCCCATCCTGACTCAAAATCCAATACTAACATACAACTCCAGCGCCGTCTCCCCTGGCAATCCACCCTCCAACTAACCCTCACACTCGCCCTCGTCAACCCCGCGCTGTGGTACATCCTCGACCGCTCCAAGCCCGGGCTCTCCTGCTCCCTCATCGTCACCTCTATCCTGACATCCTTCATCTTCCTCTCCAACCCCGACGTCCTGCCATCGCCGTCTTTACCCGCTACAACAAACATCACACACGCGAGTTCAGGAAGCGACAATGCGTTTGCAGGCAGATCAAGCCCGACAGGTTCTGGCGATGAGCTCTTCGCCGGCGTCGTTAGCTACGACAATCTGGCGGTTGTGACGTGGGTCGGAAGCGTCTTGTTTTGCAGCTGTGTCTGCTTTGGTAGTATTGGGCGAAGGTTGGCGATTCTGGAGGATG